AGCCGTGTGGAATCTCCCATTGCACCCGATTTATCCTGGACCCTGTTATTTCCAGACTTTATTATCCTTTCTAGCAACGTGCCTTTTATAGAAGGCAGCAGAGCTGCCTTGCAGTTTCCTGGTTCCCACTGGAACTTTTTAAGAACTAGCATCATATTTAACGATGTTGACCTTTTGGTAAAGGGATCGCTGCAATTCTCACCCAGGAGAGTATTTGGCCGTTCATCTGAGTGCTCCTTCTGGCAGGCTTTTAACCACGTCTTCTAAAAACGGGGTTAAAAATATTTCTTTTTCCCCTGCACGCTTTGGGACAGCAATGCAAATGTGTGTCCCCCAAGGAATGGTGGTAGTGTGAGCTCCCTAACAGCAAAGGGCAATGCAAGTAACTCAGTGAGGCTTTCTGTGATGGCTCATTCCTTCCTATAGAGCCTGGTCACATCCTGTCCTTGAGCCTCCCTGGAGAACTTTCCGCTTCTCACATAGTCATAATTCATGTTTATGCCTTTAGGATGCTTTCCTCATGTGTTCTGCGGCTTGCCTTTCACCTGTAAGTTTCCAGAGCTTGAAATATTTTTTTTTATTATTCTCTCATCTCAATTTTCCCTTAAGTTCTTACCACTTCAGGTATTCAATTCCACTCCCTTGTATAAGCACATGCCCTTTTAAAAATCTCTCTTTGAGCGCTGAGTGCAGTGTGCTGTGTAACCCAGTGCTGCAGGTGACCAGCCTTCGTACTCTGGACACGCAGGTGATGCTGACCAGCCTGCTCTCATTTCCCTTTCTGCATTAAAGGTGCTGTTTTGCTCTCACTGGGACAGTCTTATCAGGAGCTGTGGCTCTGTGGCCCCTTGAACCGAGCCCCACAGGTGGCTGAGGAGCTAAGTGCAGGCCTTCCACCATCTCACTGCCTCCACCAACCTGCTGAGGCCAACCCAACGATGGAAAGGCATGTGGAGGAGGAGGAGATGAGATCTAGGCTCTCTCCATCTGCCACATCCAAGTCAGTGACACAGGAGCCGTGGATGAGGTCAGAGAAAATCCTGGAAAGCAGTGTTACCCGGAGCACTGGGACTCTGGCCAGCAGGGAATTTGGGAGTCACGTATGTTCTGCGTCCCATCTGAGGAGCCACCGAGTTCCTCGACCCCGAGCACGAGGCCTGAGAACAGCCAGGGCCGTGCCTGGGACACTGCACTGCTGCTGGTGCCTGCTCCACGCCCACAGAAGGAAGCTGGGCAGGAGCAAGCCCCCTCCAAGGTGTGCACAGGGCTGGCCTCATCTCCTGCACTCCCGGGAACACGGGGCTCAGGCTCATTTGTGCCCCGAAGGAGAGCCCAGAGACACAGGCACTTGCAAGTATTTGCACGGTGTTTTTGTGACTGCAGGCACCAAGTGGCAGCCCAGGTGTGAGCAGAAGGTCCCTAGAGCAGTCCCTCTGCCCCCTGAGCAGGTGAGGACAGCAGTGTCTGCAGGCAGCTGCTGCAGGCAGAGCCTCCAGGGCTCTGCTATCCAAGCAGCACTGGTGCCACCGTGTGCTCTGTGAGGTGCAGCCTCCACACGCTGCCTTGCTCTGCTGTCCTGTGCCTGTCACCTGCCCGTCAGCATTCCCTCAAGTGACACCAGCTGAGCACACGAGGCCTGGGTTCCTGGTGCGTGGGTGACAGAGATTACCTCAGCACAAAGCGGCACAACCGGATCGGTCACAGGGCTTTATTCAAGGCCTGGGTTACATCATCTTTACCCGTGTCACAGATCCAGCAGCAGAGCACATTGTTTATCCTCACCCAGCAGCCAGCACCTGCATTTTGATCCCTTGACAGAATCAGCCACCGTGCAGAGAGGTGGATGTACCTCTGGCTCCACGCTAGCCACGCAAGCACCCCACACCTCTCCCGTGCGTGTGTTCATCCCCAGCCCAGAGAGCATCTGAAGGGTGAACCGAGCTCCTGCCCGCCATCCCTTCTGCTCTATGTGCCCTGCCCTGGCACTGCCTTTCCCAGCTCATGGATGGCCCCGTTCTCCAGCACCTCCACCTTCCCCTGGCCTGGCTGCAGCACGCAGGCCACCATAGCCCTGGCCACCGTGTCCACAGGCACCGAGTGAGCGGTGGGGAACACCCGAGCCACAGCACCCAGGAACTGCTGGACTATCCACTCCACGGGCCGGGACTCCTGGCGCTTGCACAGCAGCACCCTGCAGAGCAAGGGGGTGAGCTGGGTCAGCCTGCAACAGACTGAGGTCTCCAGCTGCACCAGGGCCCCCTGAGCCGACACGGGCTCTGGGGCTCTGCAGGGTCATGGGACGTGACAGAGCTGAGCCCTCAGACACTAAACTCCTTTCCCCACTGTGCTGATGAAAGCAGAATTCCAGTTCTCTTAGGTAGCAGGAGCACAGTACAGCTGAAAGGACACAGGTGAGTTTTCCCTCTGCAGAAGGCCAAGGTCCATCTGGAGATAAGCTCTGACCTATGTGCCCTGACCTGTGCTTCCAGCCCAAGGCTCCTGTCCTTGCATGGCACATGGCTCTGGCACTGGGATAGGCCATAGGAAATGCAGAGCTTGCTCCCTGCAGCACTGGGAAGCAGTCCACTCATCCATGAGCTGCATTTGCAGCCGGTGGCATTCTCCACTTCCCTCCCCAGCCCTGCCCTCATGTATCCTTTCTCTTCCTCCATCTCCCAGTGAAGCATCTCCCTGCTGCCCTGGCAACCCTCCACCCTGTGCCCGCCCTCCTCCACCACTACTCACGCTGGCCGGAGAATGGTACAGCGATCAAAACCAACAGCCTGCACCAGGTTTTCCACTTCTCCCTGTCAGAACAGCCAGGCAGGATGAAAGGAGACAAGGATGACTGCAAGCACCATCCTTGCTGCTGTAACACCCCGTGAACGGGCAGGAAAGAGCTGCAGGATGGCACTAATGCCAGCACAAAGCTGGGACGGGGCAGGCAGGGATCAGCTCCCCGGGCAGGAGCGCGGCCCGTGGTGGACACGGAGCGCAGGTCAGCAGCGCACCCTTGCATCCACCAGGCAAAACTGCAGCAGGATGCTCCGGAGAGCGGCCGGGCTCAGCATCCAGCCTGGGGACAGATCCAGGCGGCACAGGATGCTGGCAGGCAGCTCCGAGTCCAGCAGCTGTTGGGAGCTGCGGCACACAACACACGGAGAAGAAAGCTTTTGCGATGGGTGTGGTGTCCCTGGGGAGCGATCCTTCCATCGCAGGATAGTTCACGTCTCACCTGGACACCGCCCTGGGCCTCCCCACAGAGCTGTGAAGCCACCCCAGCTTAGGGTTGGGGAGCTGTTATTGGGCTAGAAACCCCAGCAGATGTTTCTGGAGCTTGAGGAGGGAGACAGACGCTGCATGCAGGTGTTGTGCTGCTTTATAAGAAGCCAGCTGCACGGCTCTCGAGCCAGCCCCTTCCCTGGTCCCGCAGCAGCACAGGACCCCCAGAGCCATTAGCATCTCAAGACCTCAGCTCCTGCTTCCTTCCCAAGCATCCCAGCACCCTGTGACTCCTGCAGGAACATCAGGAGCCCACCCCAGCCGCCCCCTCACCTTCACACGGAGGTAGAGGAAGCGGCTGTGCGCGTTTGCCCCCCGGGAGGACTGCAGGACAAAGTGCTTGCAGCCCCCTGCCCGCGCCAGCTCTGCTGCCTGCGCCACGTAGTCCCGATCCACACGGACAAAGCCGTCCTGCGGGGGACAGGAGGGTCAGCGGGGCAGGGGAGGGGACGAGCGGGACCCCCGCTCGCCCGGGGGTCAGGGGTGTCCCCACTCACTGCGCCAGCCTTGGCCCTGGTGGTGCCCAGGCAGCAGAAGCCCACGTCGTGTCCCTGGAAGGCGGCGGCGTGCTCGCCCAGCCGCTCGAAATCCACCACTGCCTGCTCCTGCGGGGAGACCGAGGGTCAGTGTCCCCTGTCCCCTGTCCCTGCCACCAGGGCTGGCCTGTCCCCTGTCCCCTGTCCCCTGTCCCCTGTCCCCTGTCCCCTGTCCCCTGTCCCCTGTCCCCTGTCCCCTGTCCCCTGTCCCCTGTCCCCTGTCCCCTGTCCCCTGTCCCCTGTCCCCTGTCCCCTGTCCCCTGTCCCCTGTCCCCTGTCCCCTGTCCCCTGTCCCCTGTCCCCTGTCCCCTGTCCCCTGTCCCCTGTCCCCTGTCCCCTGTCCCCTGTCCCCTGTCCCCTGTCCCCTGTCCCCTGTCCCCTGTCCCCTGTCCCCTGTCCCCTGTCCCCTGTCCCCTGTCCCCTGTCCCCTGTCCCCTCACCACGGCCGCCTCGGCCCCTCCGAGGCTCAGCCGGCGCCGCCCGATCAGTGTGACCCTGGCGAAGGCTCCCCGGGCCAGCAGCTCCCGCAGCAGAGCCCGGCCCGTCTCCCCCGAGGCTCCCAGCACGAAA